CACCACCAAAACAGCAAATATCTCGGCCAAATATTTTTTACAAAATTAATAGTTTTTTCGTCAAACGCGACGTTCCTGATAATCTCTTCGGTAAAGCATCCACTATAAAAAAGCATGTCTTTAATGATCCAGCGGCCAGCCATCTTACCAACTTGTTTTGTTTCACTGGTTGTGTCAAGTTTCTTCATGGCAGTTTTGACTGTAACTGTATTTTAATCTGATGGCCATATCCCCGGCCTTCTTATCAGCTTGTTTTGTTTCAGTAGGCATGTCATATTCTTGAAGCAATCATCTCGAAAACTTCTCTTGTCAACATTTTTCCAAGTTAGGAAACTTTTTTTTTGTCAACCTTGTTTACTGTTGGTCATCTTTTCAACTCATGTGAAATCGTCGTCCACTGACATTCGTTGGTAAGTCATTCACGGACCTTAAGTCGCTCGATGTCCTTTTCCCTTTGGCCACTTCAAATTACTCGGTGTCCTTCCCAAATCGTTCCTTGGTCTTGGCAAGATGTAAAATCAATCTGCCTAGCTAACCAACTTTTCCACTCTTCATCAGCCTGTCTCTCTGGCTATTGTCGTAACCTGCAGTCTCATCCAGTCCCTTCATCTCGTGTTAGATTTGACAATCGCCTGGTCACCTGCCTGGCTGTATAACAAGTCGTCGCGATTATGTCGCACAGTCTGTGCCCCCAAACAGAGATTATTGCGTCCGCAAATTTTTTTTCCCATGGTGATGAAGATGGCAAAGATGATGAATATGATGATACTGATGATGATGATGATGGTTATGATAAAGATGGTGATGATGATGATGGTGATGATGATGATAATGATGATGATGGTGATGATAATAATGATGATGATAATGTGGTGATGATTATAATGACAGTGATGATCGTGATGATGACGATACTGCTGCTGTTGATGAATGTATTTACCTCTAAAGAGTTCAAGTAGTATGCACTGTTGTTATACTTGGTGTAGTGAGAGTACCATTCCTCAATGAAGTCGTTTCCTCTTTTAGCTATTATGAAGCCATTTCCCATGCCTGTAACTTTATCTATCAGTCCCAATGTGAGATTATGCTCTGAAATATTACATGAACCTGATCAAGAACGGCTGCCAACAAGTGACTTCATCAAGAACGGCTGCCAACAAGTGACTTCATCAAGAACGGCTGCCAACAAGTGACTTCATCAAGAACGGCTGCCAACAAGTGACTTCATCAAGAACGGCTGCCAACAAGTGACTTCATCAAGAACGGCTGCCAACAAGTGACTTCATCAAGAACAAGTGCCAATACGTGACCTTATTACAAACTGCTGCCAACACATTATCACGTGACCTCATAAAGAACGGCTGTCAACACCCGTAACCTCGTCAGTTACAACTATCAACACATGTATCACGTGACCTCATCAAAAATGACTGTCAACACTCGTTACCTTATTTAAAAAAAAAAAAGCCTGCCAACACGTGCAATGAACACAATCCAAAACCAAATAAGATCAAGACCAGAAACGTCACCACAAATATAGCAAACAGGAAAGAGCAGAAATGTGATCTGACCTAGCTGAAAGTGGTCAACGAAAGAGAATTTGAACACGTGCAACATCACCAAGAACAGCTGCCAACATAAATAAATCCAGGTTTTACGACTACACAAAAGACTCGACATCATGGGCTGATATTTGACAAACATGCTTTATTCGCGCACTGGTGTTTCAAAATGTGATACAACTTTCAGAGAAAATATTCCATTTCCTTGATCAGCCCCCACTTTGTACGAAAGAACTGCAATTACAATGTTTACCGACCTACGGTCTGTACGAAAGAGCTGGAACTACACTGTTTACAGAATCACACTCTGCATTAAAGAATTGTAACTACAATGTTTACTGACCCACACTCTGCACGAAATTGATGGCACTGCAATGTTTACTGACCCCACTCTGCACGAAAGAACTGGAACTAACAGTGTTTACCGAACCACACTCTGCACTAAAGAATTGGAACAACGATGTTTACTGATCCACACTCTGCATGAAAGAAATAGAACTACGATGTTTACCGACCCACACTTTGCACGTAAGACAAAGCAAAGAGTCAATAAAAAAAAAAAAATTCGGTCATTGAAGAGGTACAGCAGATACTGCATGACTGGTTACACACGCGAACAAGAGAACCCCCCCCCCCTCTCCCCTTTAAGGTTCTGCTGCTACTGTTTCTGGTTCTACTCTTCCTTGTCTTATGGTTGTACTCCGAGTGTTTCCGGTTCTACAGTTGTGCCCCCTACTGTTCCTGGTTCTAACGTTGTGCTCAAACTCTTCCTGGTTATATGGTTGTGCGCCTACTGTTATGTCGGTGTAAAATATATCAGTGTAAGGTATGTCACTGTAAGATCAATTGGTGTCAATTATGTGGGGGTAAGGTGTGTTGGTGTAAGGTATGTCGCTGTAAGATCTTTTGGTGTAAATTATGTTGGTGTAAGATATGTTGGTGTAAGGTATGTCGCTGTAAGATATGTTGGTGTAAGGTATGTCACTGTAAGATCTATTCGTGTACATTATGTTGGTGTAAGATATGTTGATGTAAGGTATGTCGCTGTAAGATCTACTGGTGTAAATTATGTTGGTGTAAGATATGTCGGTGTAAGGCATGTCGCTGTAAGATCTATTGGTGTAAATTATGTTGGTGTAAGATATGTCAGTGTAAGGTATGCCACTGTAAGATCTATTGGTTTAAATTATGTTGGTGTAAGATATGTTGGTGTAAGATATGTCGCTGTAAGATCTATTAGTGTAAATTATGTTGGCGTAAGGTATATTGCTGTATGGTACGTCACAGTTAGATCTATTGGTATAAATTATGTCGGTGTAAAGTATGTCGCTGTAAGATTTGTTGGTGTAAGATATGTCAATGTAAGATATGCTGGTGTAAGATTTGTTGGTGTAAAATCTGTCAGTGCAAGAAATGTCAATGTTTGTGTTGAGTTGAGTCAAAAACTGACACAAGAGCACTCAGGGCATTCCTATGCATGCTCTGTCCTCATCTTCAGCAGCAATACTGATGGTACCGGTCACAATCTGGTTATATGTCTTTCTTGCCTTTCCTCTGAATGTAGTAAGCCGGCCAGACCCCCTGGATACACCCAGGTGCCTCATTCTCTCCTGGCCACAATAATATTCTTTCTCTACTGATTCCGCTGCTTGTTCCCAAAGGGCCTTGACCACATCTGCCTTTTCATGTATCAATTTACCAACCAGTGGTGCAGTTCGAGCAACTGTCTGCCTGTTCATTACCCACCACGCCGGCATGGCCTGGAGAAAAGATCAAAGTATGCTCACCACCCGTGACCTTCTCAGTGAAGCTTGCCACTCTGCTCGAAGCACCACTGTCTTCACCTTCCTCAGTATGCTTTTAGAGTACGTTACAATTGGGACGTGTGTATGTATCTTGTAGAGCTGTAGTTACTGCTATCACATCCATTCTCATGCTAGATGTTGTGGTGACGATGTGAACAGTCAGACCCGAGGATCGACTATCATATTAACACACAGAATTGATAATAATTGTATTAACAGATTAACACATATCATGAGTAATAGCTCACTGAGAAGAGGCTGAAGATCGGTCAGTACAATGTTTATAGATGTATCAGTTATCTATATATTCTATATATACATTTACATTTCATGCAAGACTAAGATTTGATTGCTCAGAGCAGTAACTATTAGTACATTTACATACGGCTTTGAAACGTGGACCTTAACAGCTGAAATTGAAAGAAAAATATAAGCATTAGAAATGCGATGTTTCAGAAAAATACTTGGTATATCCTACAGAGACCACATTACAAACGAGGAAGTCCACCATAAAATTATACAGCACATTGAAAACTACGAACCTCTTTTAACTACAGTGAAAAGTCGAAAATGCAGTGATATGGACATGTAATAAGATGTAACAGCCTCTCATAAACAATACTACAGGGATGGAGGAGAAGAGGCAGACCAAGAAAGTCCTGGTTACAAAACCTAACTGACTGGACAGGCCTCAGGCGTGCAACCATGAACTCCATCGCCACTGACCGCCAAAAGTGGAGAGAGAGACATCTGATCAGACAATCAACAGAAACTGGTGATCCAAAAAAACACACACACACACACACACACACACACGCACGCACGCACGCACGCACGCACGCACGCACGCACGCACGCACGCACGCACACACACACACACACACACACACACACACAATGGTTAAAGAGCTGTCAGTACAACATTAACAGATGAACAAATATCAGCAATGATAGCTCACCTAGCAATGGTTAAAGAGCTGTCAGTACAACATTAACAGATGAACAAATATCAGCAATGATAGCTCACCTAGCAATGATTAAAGAGCTGTCAGTACAACATTAACAGATGAACAAATATCAGCAATGATAGCTCACCTAGCAATGGTTAAAGAGCTGTCAGTACAACATGAACAGATGAACAAATATTAGCAATGATAGCTCACCTAGCAATGGTTTAAGACCTGTCAGTACAACATTGACAGATGAACAAATATTAGCAATGATAGCTCACCTAGCAATGGTAAGAGAGCTGTCAGTACAACATTGACAGATGAACAAATATCAGCAATGATAGCTTACCTAGCAATGGTTAAAGATCTGTCAGTACAACATTGACAGATGAACAAATGTCAGCAATGATAGCTCACCTAGCAATGGTAAGAGAGCTGTCAGTACAACATTGACAGATGAACAAATATCAGCAATGATAGCGCACCTAGCAATGGTTAAAGAGCTGTCAGTACAACATTAACAGATGAACAAATATCAGCAATGACAGATCACCTAGCAATGGTTAAAGAGCTGTCAGTACAACATTACCAGATGAACAAATATCAGCAATGATAGCTCACCTAGCAATGGTTAAAGATCTGTCAGTACAACATTGACAGATGAACAAATATCAGCAATGATAGCTCACCTAGCAATGGTGAGAGAGCTGTCAGTACAACATTAACAGATGAACAAATATCAGCAATGATAGCTCACCTAGCAATGGTTAAAGAGCTGTCAGTACAACATTAACAGATGAACAAATATCAGCAATGATAGCTCACCTAGCAATGGTTAAAGAGCTGTCAGTACAACATTGACAGATGAACAAATATCAGTAATGATAGCTCACCTAGCATTGGTTAAAGAGCTGTCAGTACAACATTGACAGATGAACAAATATCAGCAAGGATAGCTCACCTAGCAATGGTTAAAGAGCTGTCAGTACAACATTGACAGATGAACAAACATCAGCAATGATAGCTCACCTAGCATTGGTTAAAGAGCTGTCAGTACAACATTGACAGATGAACAAACATCAGCAATGATAGCTCACCTAGCAATGGTTAAAGATCTGTCAGTACAACATTAACAGATAAACAAATATCAGCAATGATAGCTCACCTAGCAATGGTTAAAGATCTGTCAGTACAACATTGACAGATAAACAAATGTCAGCAATGATAGCTCACCTAGCAATGGTTAAAGAGCTGTCAGTACAACGTTAACAGATGAACAAATATCAGCAATGATAGCTCACCTAGCAATGGTTAAAGAGCTGTCAGTACAACATTAACAGATGAACAAATATCAGCAATGACAGATCACCTAGCAATGGTTAAAGAGCTGTCAGTACAACATTGACAGATGAACAAATATCAGCAATGATAGCTCACCTAGCAATGGTTAAAGAGCTGTCAGGACAACATTAACAGATGAACAAATATTAGCAATGATAACTCACCTAGCAATGGTTAAAGAGCTGTCAGTACAACATTGACAGATGAACAAACATCAGCAATGATAGCTCACCTAGCAATGGTTAAAGAGCTGTCAGTACAACATTGACAGATGAACAAATATCAGCAATGATAGCTCACCTAGCAATGGTTAAAGAGCTGTCAGTTGACAGATGAACATAAATCAAAAGTAATAGCTCACCTATAAGTGGTTGGGGAGCTATCAATACAATGTTGACAGTAACAGACATAATCAGTGATAGCTGATATAGAAGTTGTTGAAAATCCGTCAGTACAATGTTGACAAAGGAACAGATATAACCAGTGATGTCTCATCTAGAAGTGATTGAAGTACAACGTTGACTGATGAACAAATATCACTAGTGATAGATCACCTAGTAATTGTTAAAGATCAGTCAGTACAATGTTGACAGATAACAAATTATAACCAGTGGCAGCTCACCTAAAAGGGCTTGAAGATCTCTCACTACAACTGTGTCGGTGTCCAGGTAGATGCCTCCGTTCATGTAGAGAAGCTGCAGCCGGACAATGTCGGATAAATGCTTGATGTGAGCAGGAATCCCCGAGATGTTGCCTGGAATCTCTCGGTATAAGAACCTTCAAGTTTAATTAAACAATAAAAAGGCATTACAGACAGGAATGTGTTGCTGGAGCTCGTGTAAACACTGCATCTGACATAAAATGACACACACGCAAGCCCACACATACACATGTATGCGAGCGCGCGCACTCCACACACAAACACATACCGTACAGAAAGCAATTGGGAAACGAACAGAAAATTTGGGACAATGTATGACCGGGAAACTAGAAAGAAAAAACGAATGTTATTGTCACAGCATCATAGACCGAATACTCAGGTCGGTCACTCAGCAAACCAGGAACAGCTGGAGAACGGCAATAGTGTCACATACTGCTAGTGTCGCGTGCCTTGGTGAGGGTTTCCACGACTGAACCAAATGGCATTCTGAAGTAGTTTTAAAATGTTGAGATGTTGGCTAGCAATAGTCTAATCCAACCTACTTCAGGGGTGAGGCGACTTACATTATGGCACTACAAAACATAAAATATTCCAAGGCGCAAAGTGGCCTGACTTCCTCACTACAGTTAAGCCCCATGACTAGATAGTCTCCTATGCTAGTCACAATAACACAGTTAAACATGTAATGTACCACTACAAACAGTGAAGGATGGACACTAACCCAAGAATAAAAAAAATCACAAAATATCTTGTAATCAGTATAATAAATGTAGGAATAAGGCAATAGGAATTCAATAGAACCAATATTACTGAGGAAATGAAGACAAGTTATGACTGAATAGCACATGAGTTTCTTCTAGTAGCGGCCATCATCATCACTGCTAAGATGTGGAACGTTGCAACACTCTGGACATCTACAAAGCAACAATGGGGATGAATCTCTCCCAGGAAGTACTTTCCGTCACCAACTGGACACAAGAACAGTAATGACTGGAGGAACCATGTTGGTGTCGTCTGGTGGTAAAGTGGATGATTTTCCACTAGGCCTCCACTGAAGTTAAAATACTGGGACAAAAAAGGAAAACCAGAAATAGCAATCATCTCATACCCCATATACCAAGTTCCTAAATCATATATTAATCCACATATATACATAGCTCAGAGGTCTGCACTAGAGATTTAAGACTGTAGGGGTCTTGTACAACACCATTGTGTCATGTCAGCAGAGACGACAGGAGGCAAAGTTACGACATGATAGTAATATAGGACAATCTTTCTGGTATAGCCCTCTTCCCTTTCATTTAGGTACATCTACACTCACACAAGTATCTCACCACTACAAGATATAGATGGTTATATATACCCTTGAAGAGGCGCTGACACACACACACGGACAGACACCCTCCTCCCTCGGTCAGGCCTGGTTACATTTTCCTGACCATAGCGGCCATGCTGTGACGTCAGACCTGTACTAAGTTAAGCTGGAGTTCGCCTTGAGGACTGCTCTGACTTAGATATCTTCTAGCCCAAAGCTTTACAACAAACATTTTACAAATGCCACAGGTTGTGTAACGGTGTTGTCTGCTGGTACATCTCTCTGGACCCTATGGACGGAATGCAATCGGCTACCAACTTCTACCTTTAACGGGGATGTATAGTCTGAGCGCCCCTCTGCAATTAGAATATATGGAAGCCTGTTCTGTAACATCCCATAGCCAGTTCTGACCTACATTCAGCAGCGGGTTTACATATATGGTACTCATAAATGATAATATACATACTCATGCTCAAAAGGATTCCTCTAGGATGCATAATTGATCACCAGAAATAGACAGATGTACAACACAAAGACAGTAAGCGTGTCTTCTCTGGAAGCTCAGTCAAGAATAAATTCTACACAAGCGTCTCTTTCTTTCTCTCGAAGAAGAAAGCGGGAGGAGATTCATCCGCGCCCAAGCGGTAATTCGGTCATTGGAATTTTTGCTTCATTTATAATGAATCTTTCCCCGTTAAGGTTGAATTTGAAAATATAATGTTTCAAACACAATTAGGACATTTTGGAGTCTTAACTCGACCTAAAGACACCTAATCACACAAAAATGGACTATATAACTTAAGAGGCAGGTCGATTTTCAAACAAAACCTCATTTGCATAGAGGTGACAAAATCTAGAAGAGTCTTATAAGAAAGGAGTGTGTGGTGTTTCGTGACAAACAGAACAAATGAAAGTAGGAGCACAACCATAGAACACGGACAAGTAGGAGCACAAACACTGAACCAGAAATAGTAGGAATACAGTCATAGACCTGTACACAGTAGGAGCACAGCCATAGAGCTATTGAAGGAAGGAGCACAGCTGTAGAACTAGGTTCAGTAAGAGCACAACCTTAGGATCAAGAACAGAAGGAGCAAAACCACAGAACTATTGACAGTAGGAGTACAACAGTAGAGCCAGGAACAGTAGAGGTGCAGCAATAGAACAAAGAAACAGAACTATTGACAGTAAAAACATAACCCTAGAACCAGGAACTTTAGGAGCACAGCCATGATTTGATTTTGATTTGATTTGATTCAAGAACCGACATCACAGCACTCGGGGCATTCCCATAAGCGCTCCGTCTCCATCTTCAGCAGCCAGCGAAGAGTTCTGATTTAAATGGTGCCAGTAGCTTTCTGATTAAACGTCCGTCTGGCCTTTCCTCTGAGCCTCGAGCTTCTGCCAGAACCTCTCGTCACCTCCAACTGCATCAATCTAACCAGACTGTGGTGATCCATCTGCTCCTCCGAATTGTACACGCTCTCCCACAAGGCACTAACCACGTCTGCCCTATCATGTATCAGTATTCCACCAAGTTGTGCAGAGCCAGCCAGTCTGTCCGCCTGTTCATTTCCCAACACACCGGCGTAACCCGGTGAAAAAATAGCACAGCCATAGAGCCAGAGACAGCAGGAGCACAACCTTGGAACAATTGACAGTAGGAGCACAACCATAAAACCATACCCGGCATTAGCACACCCATAGAACTAGGAACAGCAGGGTGTGATGACGCTCCCTCTCTGTGCTGACATAGGGGATGATGACTTTCACGTAAACGACGAATATACACACTGATGGTAGAGAGAGAAAACGCTCACAATTTAGTTAGTTTATTGCTGATCCAAATACAACTTTGTCCAGTCACTGCCGTCTGACCTTTTGCATGGTCAGAAGTTCAACTAACACTATTACAATATACCTATCAGATATTTACGCATTGCCTTGCAGTCTAGATGGATCGTTCGTCGTGCTTATTGGCCTTCACAAGCAGATTGGCTGTCGAATTGAATAGGTGCCGATCAAATTGCCATCTCGTTGAATCAGAACTTCTTGTCTATGTCTACAGTTAAACTACTCCTGTCGAAACCCAATTGGCTGCAGAAAACCAACTGGTTTGATCTTTTTTTCATGCTATCAAATCTTTCCTTAATTATGAATAAAGAAGACACAAACATTAGATTGCACAATTCTTTTCCCTGGCATATTTCGCTGTATCTCGTCAGGTGCATACTACAGTAACAATTACATAATTGAAGCAAATAAGTAAATCCTTTATAACGGAAGTACAATTTCAACAACGATCAAAACATAACTGCCTGTTTTTACCAGGGCAGCCGCAAAGACAGAACCATCTCTTTCTGTATACAGAGTTCGTGGCGCAGGTGACAAATCGCGGAAGCTTCAAGAAATCTTAGCGTTCGGCCATTGGTTGACTTATGAAGGATTTGAAATGCGTTGTATTTAGTTACCGCGTGTCCAGATTTTAGAAGATGGCGTCCTATTGCAGAGGGGTGATCTTTGCGGCAGTATTCTCATTTTGAATATTATTATGCATGGCTTTTCCCACCCATACTGAAATGTGCTCAGCGACACGTTTCATCAGGAGTCGATCAGTTCTGCCGACAAAAGCAGCTTCACAGCTACATTTAAACTGGTAGATACAATCTGATTTGGCGTACGTCGACACTGGTTGTTTTACCGAGGGCGTTGGCACAGGGATAGTTTTAAACCTCATAATTGGCAAAGCGGCGTAGAAAGTTTGGCTGACTGATGTATTTAGCCGGTCGCATAGCCGTTTCATAACGTCATCCCCTCGAAACGTTAGATGTATGCAGACTTGTTGTTTGGGGACTAATGTTTCTGTAGTAGTTGGCTGAGGAGGCTGGCAGTGGCGCTTAATAAATCCAACTGGGTATCCCTCCAAATAATAACGTTTATTTGAGGGTTTCTAATTCAGAATGTAGCGTACCACTGGAGCAAACCTTTCTAGTGCGGTTGAATTATGTGCGTACTAGGCCACGATTGTACTGGATGGGTGAAAAACTATTAAAGTTAATGTACTGGCCCGTTCAAGTGTCTTTCATATACACTGATCGTTGAATGGTGCCATCTTTTCTTCGTCTGATCAGGACATCTAAAAAGGCGATTGTGTTGTTACATTCACGTTGTAGGGACAGTGAGATGTTTTTATGTGCCTGGTTCATCTGCGTGTGTAGTATTTCTGCTTGTTTATTATCAGTGGCAACATTAAGAATATCATCTACATAACATTTGTAATACACCCAGTTATCAATGTCCAGAGATCTTTTTTCTCCTAATTGTGCCATAAAGATGTCTGCCAGGATAGGACCCAACGGGCTTCCCATGGCCACTCCGTCAATCTGGCGGTAGGACTGCTTGAGGGAATTGAATTGACGTTAGATGTGCACAATAACAACAGTGTTTCCAGTTTTGTGGCAGGCAAAATCAACTTTATATTCTTCTTTGTTATACGGTCCAGGATGGTTTCAATGGTTTGTTTATGTCTTCTTTGTTCAAATTAACAACGGAAAAACATTGCTTTAACTGTCACGAGACGATCTCAGTGATTCCAGAAGTTAGTACTTGTAATAAGTTCTTCTGGTTATTGAGAGACAAGAGACTATGCCCTTAAACCAAATGTTACTTTAAACCGTATTGATTTAAATGTTTCCAGTCCTTAGTCCAGACAAAGCAACCCAACCTTGGGTAATATTACCTAAAACTTTACACTGTAGCTAGGAATTCTATTCTCATGCCAGTGTCAGAATGTTATCTCCTGACCAGACTGTAGAGACTGAGCGGGGCCCTTTTGAACAGGGGAATTAAGTAGACGCTAGACATGGTGGAGCCGGGAGGTCGGAGTTTAACACGTCAGTGTAATTCTGGAGAGAACAGGTGTTTGGCAATTAGGAATGCTTTATCTTGATCTTGGTCACGTAGGAAACACAATGGCTTCACGGACCGTCTTTCATACCGGCCAGTTAGATTCGGTGTAAACTAGATTGGGGCACTTAAGAATGTTTGCTCTAGGGATGTCAGTCCAGAATTGACTGACAGGCCACTTGTTAGCTAATGTGATCTGTTGGGTACTCCGGAGGCGTGGCTTAAGTCATCGTCTTGAGGGTTGGACAGAACCCAGTAAAGGGAGGAGATTAATTTGGACAATAGATTGATACTTATACTTCGAGCCTGTGGAATTCCCGTCATTAATGGCAGCCTGCCGGCAAACAACACAGATCGACGTGAAGGTAATTTTACGGTCGCATTCTGTTTTGGCGATTAATGGGAAGTTCCCAGGTAAGAGAAAATATTAATTTTAATCTTGTATACATAGGTTAGGGAGTTAAGCTTAGTCTATACTACCTTTTCCTAATTGTCTGCACATTCTGCTTGAAAGAGTTCTTTGTGAGAATTCAGTATCTCAGTTAGGGAACTGCTAAACTATTCATATTTCTTGTATGTTTGTGTCACATGTTTTTCAGTGTATGTTTTCATGTGTAGAAAATAAGATGTGAACAATGACATTTGATATAATGAAATGTAATTATATTGTTTCCATGATGCCCATATGTGCAGGGATGCTGTTACGTTTTGTGTGCCCACCATGTGCTCACTTAAGGTGTTCACCTAAACAGGGGATTTATAACCCCAGGGGGAGAATGATGGGTGTACAGTATTTACTGTCACTGAAAGATAATATTCAGGACAGAGTGCACATATAAATTGTTTGAGTTTTCAGCACATAACCTGCTCCACGTGGTCATGTAATATCAATGTCAGCCAATGTTTGGAAGTCTGAGTGAAGACGGACAACAGACTTAGAAAGTCAACTATCATGACATAGCATTGGAGGGAAGGCAGGAAATGTGACGCCCATGTAAGACAAAAGACCTTCAGACTAGACTGGAGAGGATGTGGAATATGAGGAGGAGTGATGGGCTATATCTTATTATTATATGTTGTATTAATTGATACATGTATTCTTAGTGTAAGTCAAGATACTACACGTATGTGTTTTGTTTCCATGATTACAGCGCCCATGTGACGATCAGTCCATGAAGTAGACTACATTGTGTTAGACTCGGCCAGCTGGGAACGAGGTGGAGAACGAGGTGGAGAACGAGGTGGAGAACGAGGTGGAGAACGATGTGGAGAACGAGGTGGGGATGAAGTGGAGAATAAGCTGAAACAGGCAGACAACAGGCAAGGAAGAGTTGGACAAGCTTGACAGGTCCTCACGGCTGTCAGAGGCTTATAAGTTGAGTTAACCCCTTTATGTTAACCTTTTATCATCATTATCATACCACTCTAAACCCCGAGCTGTTTGTCTCGCTGAAGCGTATCTCTTTCATTAACCAGTCACTGTTTGTGTAAATAAACAAACTGGGAATTTCATTGTAGTAAATAAAGCTGTATGTCAAGTTTTAAACTACATAGTTTGTTAAATTCCAAATGTCTGTTTTTACATGTTTAATTAAACTGTTAGGATAGAATACCATTTGGTGGGAGCTCAAATAATATAATAATTCTTTAATTATTAATAATAATACCGGGAGAAGGTAGATGACGGAGGAATCACTTGCCCTGTCTAATAATTCATTTAGTATGATAGACATCTAAAATTCCTTGCTTTCTCTTGTGGGTACCAAGTGCAGCTAATGTTAAAGTACTTAACGAGCCAATATAGCTGTTTTCTTGGATATCCAGGACTTTGTCTGAGAGCAACATAGCTCAGATTTTAGTTCGGTTTATCTAGTGGAGAGAATGTGTTGAAAGGAAGATCCCTACTCAACAACATAAACATTTAAACCACGCGTCACGTCACATTAACTCTCCCCAATTTCTCGTGGTTTCACCCGTCCACTATTCGCATAATCCTGTAATATCGGAAGCCTGGCCAGACTCACCATTCACCTACTTTACTTTCCCTTGACCGTAACCTAGCTTAAAGAAACCCCTTAGGAAATCACCTTGTTACATAGGACACAACCTTAGAACCAGTAACAGTAGGGGCACAACCATAGAACCAGTAATAGAAGGTTGAAAATCATAGAACCAGTAATAAAAGGGCGACAATCATAGAACCAGTAACAGTAGAGGCACAACCATAGAACCAGTAACAGTAGGTACACAACCATAGAACCAGTAACAGTAGGTGCACAACCATAGAACCAGTAACAGTAGGGGCACAACCATAGAACCAGTAACAGAAGGGTGACAACCATAGAACCAGTAACAGTAGGGGCACAACCTTAAAACCAGTAACAGTAGGTGCACAACCATAGAACCAGTAACAGAAGGGTGACAACCATAGAACCAGTAACAGTAGGGGCAAAAACATAGAACCAGTAACAGAAGGGTGACAACCATAGAACCAGTAACAGTAGGGGCACAACCATAGAACCAGTAACAGTAGGGGCACAACAATAGAATCAGTAACAGTAGGGGTACAACAATAGAATCAGTAACAGTAGGGGTACAACAATAGAATCAGTAACAGTAGGGGCACAACCATGGAATCAGTAACAGTAGGGGCACAACAATAGAATCAGTAACAGTAGGGTCACAACCATGGAATCAGTAACAGTAGGGGCACAACCATGGAATCAGTAACAGTAGGGGCACAACCATGGAATCAGTAACAGAAGGGGCACAACCATGGAATCAGTAACAGAAGGGGCACAGCCATGGAATCAGTAACAGTAGGGGCACAACCATGGAATCAGTAACAGTAGGGGCACAACCATGAAATCAGTAACAGTAGGGGCACAACAATAGAACCAATAACAGAAGGTGCACAACCATATAATCAGTAACAGTATGTGCACAACCATATAATCAGTAACAGTAGGTGCACAACCATAGAACCAGTAACAGAAGGGTGACAACCATAGAACCAGTAACAGTAGGGGCACAACTATAGAACCATTTACACTAGGGACACAGCCGTAGAACCAGTAACAGAGAGGGCGCAACCATAGAACCAGTAACAGAAGGGTGACAACCATAGAACCAGTAACAGTAGGGGCACAACAATAGAACTATTGACAGAAGAGGCACATTAATAGAGCTATTGACAATATGGGCACAACCAAATAGCAATTGACAAGAGGAACACAACCATAGTACCACGGACAGTAGGGGCACAACCAAATAGCAATTGACAAGAGGAACACAACCATAGTACCACGGACAGTAGGGGCACAATCATAGAAAAGATAGAGGTCAACATATATAACTTGCATTTATAAAAATAGGAACAGATAAATAAGTGAGGGAAACATAAAAGTACCTGACTCCGGGAACATCTGCCATCACCTTTCGCCACCACTCGCCCCTAGGGTGTTGGTCTCCAACAACATAGAGTGCTGATGGTGCGATAAAACGGCTGGCTGCTCTGAGAGAGATGTAGTTCACCAGTCGAAACTTATTGACTCCAAAATTAAGAAAATAAACAATCTTAGGAACTCTATGTACGTTGTCGAGGCAGCAGACTGTGGACTGCTGAGATTGTAGACCGATCTGTTTAAGATACAACCGACAGATGACATCAAAGTTGGTCGCGGACTGGTCACATACTAGGTCCGAGTCGTAATTTCTAGCAGTCGCGTCGACGCGTGTAAACAGTTCTAAAACATGACACTTGTCAGACATTTTTTGGATGTACTCTTTACACTCAGGTTTTCCTTGGTGTTCACTTTCTGCTGCCTGAAAACGAAATGTCTCCTGTCTCCATGATATTAGAGAGGACAGCCCCCAAGAGGGACGTAACATTTCATTGACAATAAGACTGTAAAAAATCACCATAACAGCAAAGGTCAACAACACAGCCGGCAATGTTGTGGCTTTTTTTAAAACTTGAAATCGACACATTGGTAACATCATGATGGTAAATTTACCAGCTATCGGACAACGCTAGCTTGCCCGTGGTAACTTCTGTTTGAAAAAGAATAGGAAAAAAAAAGCATAAGCATTAGTAGAGGAAATTTTATACACAAACATAAATCTATCTGCACATGACAAATGGCAGTGATAACATGGAAATACCCCATAGTGGCACACAGATACCAATTACTGGTACATTATCATACACGCTTCAATGACTTGTACATTATCATACAGTTATCACTTGCTGTTACATTATCACACATGTATCATTTACTGCAACATTATCACACAGGTATCACATTAGCGAGTGAACAGTGCGAAGGCACAGATAGATCATTTCGGTTTGAGGAGAATGGCGCTGCGAGAAGTTACCAGGGAATGCGAAGAACTTCTTATCCTGCAGCACAGATGGCCAGTACCTGCACTCATGACCTAAAACTGCAATGATGTTTTAAGTGGGGCACCCAAGAAACTGCAACGATGTTTGAAGTGGGACGCCGGAAATTTGTTTAATGTGGTGCTTTTTTGCTTATAATATTAATGTCCTTGTGTGTATGTGTGCTTTGTCTGTGTAAGTGATGTGTCCCTGAGCGTTGTGTCTCTGTGTGTGAATGTAAGTGCGTGAGTGTCGTGTCTGTGTTGGTGTTATGCACGTGTGAGTGCTGTGTTTGTGATTCCTGTGTGTGTATGATTGTTGTGTATGTGAGTGTGTATGTGTGTGGCTGTTTTGTTTGTGAGCGCTACGTCTGTGAACGTTGTGTTTTTTGTGAGTCTGTGTATGCCCGTGTGATGTTGTTTCTGTATGTATTTTGTGTCTGTTGTGTCTGTGAGTGTGTTTACCTCTGTGTTTGTGATATGTCTGTGTCTGTAAATGTGTGCCTGTGAGTGCTGTTTCTGTGAGCGTGTGTTTACCCGTGTGTAAATGGAGTGTATATATGTGTGTATTTTGTGCTTGTGTGCATATTTTGAGTCTGTGTGTAAGTGTTGTTTCTGTGAATGTGTGTCCCTGTTGTATTTGTGAGTGTTATACTGTGTGTTTGCTAGTGCTATGTATGTGAGTGTTATGTCTAAGGGTGTTGTGTCTGTGTGAGTTTTGTGCCTGAGTGTGTACCTGAGTATATGCTTTGTGTATGTGTTTGTGTGTGTGTGTCTGTCTATGTTGCGTCTGTGTAAGTGCTGAGTCAGTGAGTATTGTGTTTGTGTGCGTTCTGTTTTGTTTATATAAGTGTTGCGTCCATGAGTGTGTTTTGTGTGTGAGTGTGTGTGTGTGTGTGTGTATGTTAGTTATGTGTTTGTGGGAGCCTTGTGTTTGTGAGCGTTGTTTCTGTGGATTGTGTGTCTATGCGTGTGTGTGTTGGAGGGGGGTGGGGTATTGTGTCTGTAGGTGTTGTTTCTGTGTGAGCGTGGTTCTGTTAGTGCCATGTCTGAATGTGTGAGTGTTATATCTGTGTATGTGATATCTGTGTGTGCTTTGTTACTATGCCAGTGTTATGTCTGTGTATGTGATGTCTGTGTGTGTTTTGTTACTATGCGAGTGTTATATCTGTGTATGTGATATCTGTGTGTGTTTTGTTACTATGCGAGTGTTATATCTGTGTATGTGATGTCTGTGTGTGTTTTGTTACTATGTGAATGTTGTGTCTGTCAGTCTATGTTTACCTGCGTGCATGTGGTGAGGCTGTATGTATGTTTTGTGTCTCTGAGTGTTTGTGCATGTGAGCGTGTGTTTAAATGTGTCTGTGTATATACTTTATGTCTGTGTATATGTGTTGTGTCTATGAGTGCTTTATTGTGTGTATAAAATTTATTTCTATGAGCATTGTGTCTTTTTATGTTGTGTCTGTGAGTGTATACGTTTATGTTTTGTGTGTGTCGTCAGTGTGTAGCCTCTGTGCGTGTAAATGATATGTGTGTGTGCTTTTATCTGTAGTCTGTCTCCCTGCGTGTGTGTGTCTGTCTCGTGTGTGTCGGAGTTGTATACGTATTTGTTTTTATATAATTGCCACTCATGCTTCTATATTTGTATTTTACTTTCACATTATGAATATTCATGTATGAACACAATGGGCTTCTGTTCTGACATAGTAATATATTTTAAAATTTAATTATAAATTAAATAAATATTTTAAAACTATTTTTAAAAACAAAAAGCTAAGAACGTTTTTGTTTTTATTAGCAGTTTTTACATTCACTGTCAAACATCTCATTGATATGATACAACATGCCGAAGAAAAGATTGTGCAAAGGTGAGTACATTATGTTTAATTCTACAGTGTTAGACAGTAAGGGCAAACAACCCCCTTGTGTGGTCTGCCCTTGTGTTCTCAGTAACTGTGTGCCGAATTCACTTCGGTATTCAAATGTGCCAGAGATCTGAGGCTTCATCGCCTAAGCCAGTCTTCAAGGCACTTGATGATGCTGATGATGACAGAGGCGAGTGAGAAAGGTACAGGCTACGTGAAGTTGTAAGACGTGTTTCTAGAGATTACGGTTAACACCGGCCTAAGTGGGTATTGTGAGATACAAATGTGTCCGGCGGCTGAAGTTGAACCAGTGTCAAAGTCAGCGCGTCTCGGTCAGTAAGATAGAGCGACGTATGTGGACATGGATTACCTTTGTTCGTAATAATACTGCAATGGGGGATATTTTCACCCAGATTAGGTTGGTTGGGGGGGGGGGGAAGGCCCAAAGCTGACCTAAAACACCGAGATAGTCCAGATATTTGGATTAAACGAGAATCTGGAGATAGGTGACTAACCACTGGTTATCACGGGGACCACGATGATGCGACCCAAGGTCGCCACGTGAAAAGTAAAGGACCACCACGTGTTGTCACGTGAAACGAACCTGTGGTATAAGTCAGACTTGACTCTGGAAAGGAGACCCTGCCGACGAAGTGTGAAGCCGAGATCGACCATGCCAGTGTGTGAGATGGCCAGAATCTCAACGTGAATCCATGGGAGCCAACTTTGGTCAGTGAATGTTTGAAGAAGACTGTTCGTTGAAGGCTGCGTGAGTTTGGGTACGAGAGCTGTTTGCTAGGACACCGGACATTCTTGTATGTAAGTGTAAATACGTCAATAAATTCATGTCTCGTAAGCTCACATCGGTGTCGGCTTGTGCCAGTTGTGTAACGTGGAGCGTGTGAGAAGATCATCCACCACACACGCATGAACACTACCTAGACAACGAGAAGAAACAACACACCACTTATTACAAATACAGTCAATTATGGTAGTTATGGGGATGAAATGGCAGAATCCAGATACTTTATCTGACCACTTTGATTTGATTGATAATATTTCGAAATGTTCGTTAGTGCAATGGCTGTTTATAGAAGCTTGCTGGTATTTTGATAGCAGGACTCTATCTGCTTATCCGCAGGCCAGTGCGGCTTATCCAGCAATATTTGCTGTTAAAGGCTAAATTTGACTCTGTTAGTGGGCCCATTTGCCGAATGCCTTTATTATAGGCTGCTGGTGACTCCCAGAAGTGGGCTCATACTCCGAATGCATCTTGGTTAGGGACCCACGTCAAGGCGAAGTGCTGCCTTTTGAGATGATTGAGTCTGCCAGTGTCTATACCAGGCAGAATTTATTATGCAGTGTTCAATCATTTGCCACAAATTCATCATTCTAATGTGCTCGCCCATGAATAAACTCGATTGACACAAAAGCAAAAGGGTGACTTTTAATGGTAGATTTATTTTTGGTGTTTACGCTTAGTTATTAAAGTGCTGTTGGTGCGATGTTGCCTGTATATACCAGTGCTATGTCAGTATTCTCATGTGGGAACCCAGTAGTTGTCGACACATAATGTTCTACTGTTTCAGACCGAGGTCCGCTGGTTATCACAGGAAAACTGGTGGTTCAGTTTATACCAATTGAAGTCTAAGCTTTCTCTAGAGTTAAAGTAAAATGTGATCTGTATCTAGCCTTTACTGAAAACTCATTTGCCTTTTAATTGACATATTATACTGATTTTGTTTGTTTGTTGGTTTAAAGCTTTGAATAATGTGAACTTAAAACTTCAAGGAGAACATTGCAACCTTATTTTATCCTACAGTGAAGTCAGAGCATTCTTGAAGAAAGACAAAATAAAGTTATTGAAGCTATGAACTGAATCCAAGAACTTCACAACTTCTACTCGATTGAACAAACTTTTGAAAAGTAAGTAGTTTGAAAATAACGAACTTGCAGTTAAAATTCAGTCACATTTAGATTTACTTGTAGAGGAGGTCAGTCTATGTTTTCCTGATCGATCATTTGGGAATGTTCTTAGAAGTTAAATATAAATTCTTTCATGACTGACTGATATACTTCATATACTGCCAGAGTCTATTCAAGAACAAGCTGCAGTGTAATTCAAAGGTTAAAGACGATTTTACATGTTTAGCCTTTGTCTTAGTATATGTTTTGTTGTTGTTGTTGAAATTTCTTGCAGTATCTTACTGCAATGACCCTCTATTCTCTTCTATCTGGCTCTAGTCACTGCACGCTTTCACTCACTGACCGACAACACATGAGAAAACATAGACGCTGGCGAACGATCCAAATTATTCTGTGGCTTATTTGTTCACTCGCTGGTACTGCAGCCAGTAAATGTTATGGTACAACACAGTCACTCATATCTATCTTCACTGACCGAAAATGTCAACTATACCTTATAATAAACACTCCATCGCCACAGAAATTGAAAGATAACGACGAGTCCATCCGCTCAAAACACAGATATTCAGCTGGCTACGGCACTTCCGTCAGCCGTTACTGATGGCCAGGTAGGCGTTGAAAACCACTCTGCAGACATCTCGGACTTGAACAATTTTTTCTGGATCCCGCAGACACTCCTTCATACTTCATGTATTCATTTCCTAGGCCTAAACGAGACTGTCCACCAGCCCTTTCTAAGGCATTATATAACCTTCTAATGCCCTTCTCTTGATTCCGAATTCTCTCTGTTCTCTGATTTACACGAATTCCATTCGGCCAGCAGTT